TATGTTGCCCTTGTGTCCTGTGACTTTACTGAACTCACTTACTGGCTGTGGGAGCTATTTTGTAGATTCCTTGGGTTTTGTTTTGTTTTTTTTTTCTTTTTGGTACCAGGGATCAAACTCAGGTCCTTATGCTTGCAAGCCAGGCGGCGGAACCACTGAGCTAAATCCCCGGCCCCTCCTTGGGGTTTTTTATGTAGATGATTATATAATCTGAAAGCAGAGACGTTTGCTTCTTTTCCATCTGTATACGTTTATATTTCTTTAACCTGCATTATTGCACTGGCGAGAGCTTCAGGGTGCTGTTGCATAATGGCAATGACATGGAAATCCTTGCATTGTTGTCAATCTTAGGAGAAAAACTACTAAGTATGATGTTACCTGTGACATTTTGGTAGATGTCATTTATCGGGTTAAGTTTTCTAATCCTGGTTTGCTAAGAAATTTTTATCATAGCTACATGATGAATTTTGTCACGTATGTTCTCTACATCAATTGATGACCAAGTGGCTTTTTGTTCGTTTGTTTGTTTGTTGACACAGGGTCTCACTCTGCAGTGCAGGCTGGCCTTGAACTCACTATGTAGCCCAAGCTGTCCTCAAACTCATGGCAATCCTCCTGCCTCCCCGAGTGCTAGGATTACAGGCATCTGGCACCACACCTAGCTATCATATAGCTTTTCTTTTCATCTGTTGTTTTATTCTGTTGTTACACTGATTTTTAAATATTATATAGCCTTATATTTCTTAGTAAACTCCACTCAGTCTTAGTGTATTATCTTTTTTATATGTTGTTGGATTTGATTTGGTAACATTTCATTGACCATTTTTATATCCAAGTAAAATTATTACATGAAGGATGTAGGTTTGTAGTTTTCTTGTGCTATCTGTATCTATTTTTGATATGAGGATAACGATGACTCTTAAAATGACTTAGAAGCATTCCCTTATCTTCTGTTTTCTAAAAGAGATATGGAGAGTTGATGATATTTCTTCTTTAAATGTTTGGTAGAATTCACTATGAAATAATCTGGGCCTGGAGTTTTCTTTTTCCAAAGGTTTTTAACTACAAATATAATTTCTTCAACAGAATAAAACTATTCAGGCTATTTCTTCTTGGGTGAGTTATGATAGTTTGAACTTTGAAGGAATTATTTGGTTTATAAGTTGTTAAATAAGTTGTTGTATGTAAAGTTGTTTAAAATAGTCCCTTATTAGCTATTTAATATCTTTGTGGTCAGTAGTGATAGCCCCTCTTCTATTCCTGATACTGGTAATGACATTTTCTATATATATTTTTCTTTTGGGGCTAGAGGTTTATCAGTTCTTTCTGTCTTTTGAACTATCTTTTTGTTTTATTGATTTTCTTTATTGTTTTCTGTTTCCAAGTTCTTATCTTCATTTCATTAACCTGCTTATTCTATGAAATTTGATAAATTCATCTGCATTTTTTTTTTTTTTTTTTGGCAGTACCGGGGATTGGACTCAGGATCTTGAGCTTGCAAGACAGGCACAGTGCCACTGAGCTAAATCCCTGGCCCTCATCTGCATTATTGAACAAAACCATTATAAAATGTATTTTTAAACTCATTCTTTTGAGAATTATCATTAACAGTTTTCCATGTGTTATCTCTTTGCAGTTGACTGGTCTGAGCGTCTCCAATGGAAAGGACGAACTTGTAGTGTTCCATACAAAAGACAACAAAGACCTCATTGTCTGCCTCTTCAGCAAGCAGCCAACCCATGAGAGTCGAATTGGAGAACTTGTTGGAGTCCTGGTGAATCATTTCAAGAGGTGAGCTTTGTAACTAAGACAAGTTTTAAATATATAAAATCTCTAATCATAATTATCACTGAATTGTTCTGTGCCAACTTTGATATATTAGGTTATGTTCCTCCATAAGGACTACATAAAGCAGTGATGGTAAACCTTTTAGAGCTTTCAATGATACAAACAGCCCACTGCAGCACATGTGCCATAGGTTCGCCGCCACTGACTTAAATCATCTACTTCATAGGAGGTAAAATTAGCCTTCAGCCTAATTTTCAAGATTAAAGTCAGGCTATTTTTCTAGCCTGTTGCTGAATCAACAATAAAAAATTTCCCTAATGGTTATTTCCTCACTGTCAGTCCAAATATAGTCAAATCTTAACAATAGAAAAAATTACTTTGTATTCTTATTGTCACAGCTTCGCATTTACCCCAAATATATTCAGTGTGTCTACTATGACTATAAACAAATTAGAATTAGAAGGCAGGTTTGAGACAACATATAGCTCCACGAAGACTAAAGAAATTCCAAGGAGAGGCAGTAACTGCTACTGAAACATGGAGTCAAGATGGAATATGGTATATTCTGAGACTGCATAGTAAGCCTGGATGAGATCTAGGGGGGATGTTTATGGAGCGATAAACAGAGAGCAGATCCTGAGGGTGGTCAGGACCAGTAAATGGGTGATTCTACGCAGGGGAGTGATTTAGGCTGATTATTTATTGAAGTTGTTTTAGAGGTGGAGTTTTTCCTCCCGAAAGAGGTTATGCGGTGTTTGAGATGGACAAGCCCCTCCAGAGTTCAGTGTTCTTCACATTGTGCCACACCATCCTTGCCTCCCACCCTATCTTTTTTTTTTAATTTAAATATATATATTTATTGGTACATTTTAGGTATAAAATACATTTACATTTATCATTGGGTGTTTGTACCAGAACATGATGCATTTTAGTTTTTATTTTTTTCTCCCATTACCTGTGCACCCTTCACCCCCTCCACCCTTACCTATCTACACAGAGTTTGATTCCATTTTTTTTCTCATAATTTTTATCTTTCCCTTCTTCCCTTTCCCCTTTCCCTTCCACCGTCCCCAAACCCTTGGACCTTTTCTTATTTCAAATTATCAATTATTGATTTTAATCATTTTCATTCTTATTTACACTTTCAATTTCTCACACTAGAGAAACTATTCGGTATTTACATATGTGTGTCCTATTTATTTCACTTAAGAGTATGGCCTCAGTATGTATCCATTTAGCTATAAATGTCTCTAGTTTCTCATTCTTTATGGCTGAGTAGTACTCCATTTTATAAAAAAACCACATCTTCTTTATCCAGT